AATTCTGTCTAGAGAAGTCTAGAAATCAGGTCAGCAGTAGGGATGTGGGCAAAGGTGATCCTCTTAACATTCAGTGTGCAGTTTGCATAGTCTCCCTTCCATGTGTCATTCTCCCTTCAAAATAATAGAGCAAGCTTTTCAGACCTATTTTTAACACAGTGCTTGTTGTAAATCATCATGTTCAGCATGACAGAACTATTACATTCTCAACTGCTTTTTGCCCGCTAGTGCTGAGCCCTTTTCCACTTTTGTGGTTTCAGTTGATTTCCAATCTAGCTTTCCTTGAAGCATTTTCTTTGTGTTACTTTATATATCTCCTTGAAAATGCACACCTATAGGAGTTGGAGCTATAGAAGACATGCAGGATTATGTCAGTTCTCTGTGTTGAATTGTATATAATGTTTAATATCATGCATTAATTTTATTCCTGCTGCACAATGTCAGGTTCCTGAAGTTGCCCTTCCAGCTATTTCTGAAGAAATGGCAAGACAGGCAGACCTCACATCTAATCAGTGGGCCATTTTACTAAACAGTATACTGTACTTTTATATTTATATAACATTTGCAGGTCTGAACCACATGGATGACAATGAAAACAGATTCTTGTGAACCTCACCATCACGTCTTTGTTAAAATCAGCTGTGCAGTTACAACTGGTCATTCCATAATAAAGTTCTATTGTGAAACATTATCCTGGAAGTCTGGCAGGTTTTTCTGAATATGTTGTTTTGCATTATTTTACCAAAAACATTTATTTTCTCCCTTCCTTTTCTTGGGAGGGCACTTTTTAAAAGCACTTTTTGGAGGTAGTCAGTTTTTAAAAACTCTTTTTGCTACATCCTAATAGTGTTTCTTGATGTTGTTTTGGAAGCGAGAGCACCAAAAACAGCCCACAAAACTCATCTTCAGCATAACTAGTCACTTTGCATAGCCACCCCTACAGTATGGCATGTTAGAAGAACACGCGTGCACAGAGTGATTTTTATAGGCATCTGTGTAAATGATAGTTTATATGGTTATGTCAAAATGTCCTCCTCAATGTATTGTGTAACGGGTCAAGTACTGTGGCTCATATTGGATAACAAATGGAATTTGATTGTATCTTCAAGAGAGCTGATGCTATTGTTATAGAACAGAATGAAAGTTATCTTTCAGTGAAGCTTTGTCCTTTTGTCAGATGAATGGGTCTTACTAATTGTTGAGTGATTTTTTATTTACAGAACAGACATGTTGCAGTTATGAACAGTTACCAGGGTGGACAAAAATCAATGATTTTTAAAACTAAATTGATTTAAATAATGATTTATACCACGGTTTTTAAAATGATTTGCCATGTTTCCCTGAAAATAAGACAGGGTCTCACATTAATTTTTGCTCCAAAAATGCATTAGGGCTTATTTTCAGGGGATACTTTATTTTTTTTCATGTGCAACAATCTGCATTTATTCAAATACAGTCATCTTCGTCTGGTTGCTGCACAATGATGGACGGTGTTGTTTTACTTAACTGGGGCTTATTTTTGGGGTAGGGCTTATATTATGAGCATCCTGAAAAATCATACTAGGGTTTATTTTCAGGTTAGGTTTTATTTTCAGGAAAACAGGGTAAATCAAAACCACCCTGGCAGTTACTTCTCTAGTTAATTCCTAGGCATGGTGTTATATCCCCAAATGAATTTCCGAAGACCTGGTTTTACACTTGAAACAAGGGTTGGAGTTTCTTCTGAGTGTTTTCTTCTTTTCTGCTGGATGACTAATGGGGCAAACACAGTTTGCTCTGAAGGTGTTTTTTCTGACACTTTTCCAGTTAATGTGGTGTGGAGAATCTTTGAGTCAGGCTTCTATTTTCCTGTTTTTACTGACCCTGTTATTGAAGCTGTGTTTGTTCTTGGGAACATAGAAATGGTTTCTCCTTGTTTTATCATATAAAATACTTTTTTAAGAGTAGCAGTGGTTGAGCTTTTCTCTTACTTGGAGCCAGTATCACATGACAGTTTGGATTGATCTGACCAGACATTTTTTTTAAGAATAGGACAGTTTGTCTTACCTTGGTTATTTCAAAGTGTGGAACAGGATTTTTTAAAAATGCAAATATTTAATATTCCCTGAGATTTCTCTTGATTCTATTTTCTCAACATGAAGTATTGAGGGTTGACCGTAGTAGCTTTTTAATATTCATGTGGTACATGAAAATAGATCAGTTAATAGCAGGTGGACACTGTGTGGTTGAAAAGTTAGGCTGCAGCCAGATATTAGTTGTTTGACTGTACTAAAGATGGTGTGATAAAGTACATCTGTGTGTGAGTGTGAAAGAGAGGAAGAACCATACTTAAAACTGATGTGTTCTCAGTAACACTGTGAATATTCTGTCGGGCAAAGAGTTTAGCACATGGGAATCTTAAATTTCTTTTAAAAGAAACATCTTTCTAGCCTTGAGGCATGTGATGACAGTTTTGGCAGTGTGGAGGCTGTATCTGATGACCACTTTGAAATTGGTCGGGATAAGCAGGATCTGCATTATAGAGGATATGGGGTTTAAATTTACAGTACTATGTAACTTCAGTCCTTGAGTAAGAGGAGCATCCCATTCCACAAAAATGCAGATATGCTTATTTGGGGTGTGTATATGCATAATACCATTGAGCTCTTTTGTGTGCAGAATTGCCCTTGGTTTGGGCTATTAGGAAATTTGGCAAAGGCCTGTGTGCTTGTGCATGCTTGTACATCTTTAGTTAAAGAGTATGACTAAAGTCCATTCCTCCTAAAGCTGTAGAACTATGCACTACAAGAATGAACTGGTTTCCGTGGGTGGAAAAGTATTTTGATTTTCACTGCTACACTTGATTATTGAAGCATCCTCCAACAGTAATAATGTTGCATTGTTGACTGGAGAAAACATGCACATCTGGCAGCCTTGCTGAGAAGCTGAAGAGGGATGGGAGGAGGCACACAGTCAAGCATTTTGCTTCACCCGTCTCCACCAGACACCAGCACAAAAGCAGAGCTGCCTTTCAGTTAATTGTTGCAGTGAATATGGGTGATGAAGACTGATCAAGTTAATGTACAGAGCTCAGTTGAAGATAGCTTGTGTACATCTGCTTTGCATCAGTCTATATGGTTAAAATGAGCTTATTTAAGAACTGCCTGCTGCTTCTGAGGCTTCCAAAGTAGCAATCTCTTGCTTGCTAGGTGTGGTCACATAGAGACTTTACTTTGCTCCAGCAAAGGTAATTGTTTCAGGTTTATGCTGATCTAAGCACCAGCATTGGGAATGAATGTAAGCAGCAGGTGAGGGCTGCCTTTTTTTGGGCTAAAACATGTTGGATGTGAGTTTTCATCTTTGTACCATAATATACCGTATTTTTCGCTCCATAAGACGCACAGACTTTCCACCCCCCTGTTTTGTGGGGAAAAGGTGCGTCTTATGGTGCGAAAAATACGGTATGTGCAGCTCTCATCAACATAAATATGTGGGAACTGGTTTGGGAAGTTCTCTCAGAGAAACTAATACTGTAGCATAGTGTGAAAAATCATCTCTGTTTTCATAGCATGGTTTGGGGAATACACCATTTGTACGTTGCTTGTGCCTCTTTCACAGTCTTTTAAGATGTTCCTGTTCCGGTGGTTTAAAAATCTGATATTAGCTGTGCATTTGCAGGGTGGCCCTAACTGAGCTACTTTCTGTCTCTCGGCCTCTGCCCCTGCAATGAGCAGTTGTTGTGGCCTCTATTAGAGGTGGGAACTGTTCTGTTTGCTCTTACCAAATATTTTCTTTTAAAAGCTTTCAGTTTAATTATAATTAATTCCATCCTGTTCCGGTGGTTTAAAAATCTGATATTAGCTGTGCATTTGCAGGGTGGCCCTAACTGAGCTACTTTCTGTCTCTCGGCCTCTGCCCCTGCAATGAGCACTTGTTGTTATTAGAGGTGGGAACTGTTCTGTTTGCTCTTACCAAATATTTTCTTTTAAAAGCTTTCAGTTTAATTATAATTAATTCCAAGTAACTATTGTAAGGATTACTGGGATAATACATCCTTATGTATAGGACAGAGATTCCTGTCTTGCTGCTGTGCAAGACTGTAATTCTAAAACACGAATATTAACAAAAACAAAGCTTTTCTGTATGGTAAAGATTGAAGCCCACAAACTCAATTTGGAGTTCTATTAGAATCCTAAAATGTACTATTTCTATTTTTGTAGAATAGTCAAGAAATGCATCAATAAGAAGGAGTTCTATTAGAATCCTAAAATGTACTGTTTCTATTTTTGTAGAATGGTCAAGAAATGCATCAATAAGAAATGCTATATCTTTTACAAATTATATGTTAGTGTGTGTGTTGTATAACTTTAGCATGCCAAAATTGTAAAAGCAAAATAATTATCAGTCTTGCTAAAGTGATAATGAGAAACTCTTAATTTCAGAGCTTCATCAGATCTTGGAGGGAACAGACCATTAAAAAGTCTGGGGGAAGGATATGAAAATAAATGTATTCACTTAGGTATCTAACATGTGTGAAACAAATCTCTTGACTCAAATTGTGTTAGGCTCCTAAATATACAGATTTCCCTCAGTGAATTGCTGTTTCAGGCAAGGTTTTTGTTGGTTTTGTTGAATAACTGGTCTCTCCTCACTTGTATAGTTGTGTCTCTTAGTCTACTTATCCCGTGAACATCAAGCTTTTGCTACAGTTGGAATGCTCAAGAATAACTTCTAACATCCAAAGAAGCACATGTCTCCCTCTATTTCCTTGCATGCATCCATTTAAGATAGAGAATCCGATAAGCTTGTTTGTGGCTGGCAGCACAGAATAATCTGTTACAACATTTGGAGCAGGGGCAATCCTGTCGTTGCCTTCCTGAAAATGTGAAACCTAATATTCCTCATTCAGGATTATGTCACTCTTTTTCTACTTGTTTATAATCATGGTTTCCCAGTGATCTGGGATTCTTGCCAATAGAAAGGTTTGCTGTGTGTAATATCCAGCACCATTGGTGTGATCTCTCCTGTGTCCTGCCTGGGAGGTCCCTTCCAAAATCTGTGGCACCCAGGCTTCTTGCCTGTCAGCTGATGATGCACAGAAGGTGTTGCAAAATCTAACTCTGCTCTTTCTTTCTTTCTTTTGCAGTAGTCTTTTGCCTTTGAGTAACTGCCCCCAACTACAGTGCTGCCGGCACATTGTCCCGGGGCCTCTGTGGTGCTCCTGATGCCCCTCACCCACTGTCGAAGATCCCCGGTGGGCGAGGGGTTGGCAGGGATCCTTCTGTCTCGGCTTTGATATATAAGGTGAGCTCAATTCCATGACAAGAAGAAACCAAAGATCTGGTGTTGGGAGGTGAGGGTGGTATTTGCTTGCTTTGGGATGGTGGTATCTTTTGAATTTTGATGAAAGAAATCTCTTTTGAGAAACTGTGTTTTATCTTCCTTAATAAAAATGCTTCAAAGAACATTACAGATTTATTCTAATTGAACGCTCCCTAGCTATTTACATTGTTTAAACATCTTCCTTAATCTGTTTCGTGTTGTTTTTTTAAAAATCTGGTAGCCTTATGACCACCTGTACAAATACGTTAGGATAGTCTTTCTAACAATTCTTGGTGTTAATGCAATCCATCAAATTAGGAAACCTAACAAAATGCCACTCTAAACTATGTCAATTGCTAATAATTTTGAGTGTGTGTAACGGTGAAAGTAATACTCGGTTCCAGTTTTCCCTCTGGACTGCTCTGAACAACCAGCTGACTGGTCGTCTCCCCAGAGCTCTTGTTTCCACAACACAAACATACAGAATCATAGAATAGGTTGCTAAATATCTTTAGACCGAAAGAAGAGCAAAGAAGGGTGTTATTACCTTCTAGAGCTCCAAATAAAAACTGGAGTGGCTGGGTAATAATACTGTCTTAGTTGTGTTCCTCTGCTTAAAGCACCAATCTAATAGGTTGGAGTCTAAATTTCATTTTTGAATTCTTAATACTGGAATGGCTAATTTGGATTCTCCGCTTAAATAATTTTTAAAATTAATTTTTAAAGACTATGAATGCTGAAATCGGATGGCATTTTGTATCCGTATACGCGGAAAAGAACTCTCTGACTGAATGCTTTTTTAAAAAATGTACAACTGTTGCCCCTATTTTCTGCTTTAGAGGGAACTGCTATTCAATCACATGCTCGTGCTTATGAAGAACCAATGTTTAAAGGCATCCTTGTTCAATTCTGTATCTAACAAGACTGGCTGTCCTTTTCCAGGAGCATTTGCATTGGTATAGAAGAGCATAATAGATTTGTTCAGAGCAGGAGTGAGGATCCTTTGGCCTGCTAGATTTTTCAGACTACAACTCTCAGTGCTAAACATTGGCTGTGCTAGCTGGAACCCCTGCAAGGTGAAGTCCAAAATTGTATACAGGCCCAAATGTTCCTCATCCCATTTTAGAACATTTGAGCTCAGTCAAACTGTTAATTTTTAACATGCTTTTGCGTACTCAGCTAGTTATTCCAGAGAAGGTAGCAGCCTGCTCAAAGAGTGGGCCTGCCCCCTCTGAGCTGAGCCTGGTTTGGCCTGTGTCTTTAAAGGCAGTATGTATTAATAGCATTATGTTAAAAATTCACTCAAGCTGTAGTTAAATAAACGTTCTGAGGACTACATAGTTAAAACAAGCCTTTTAAAAGGCAGGTCCACTGGCAAGTGTCTTTCCATTCTGAGAAGAAAATGACTCAACATGGTGCTGTTTGCTAGCTTTTTCTGTTTAACACTTGGTTTTTCTTCCTGACTCTCAAAGGATGAGAAGCTCACTGTTAACCAAGATCTTCCAGTGCATGATGGGAAGCCACACATTGTCCACTTCCAGTACAAAGTTACGGAAGTAAAGATCTCCTGCTGGGATGCAGTGCTATCCAATCAGAGTCTTTTTGTGGAGATCCCTGATGGTTTATTAGCTGATGGGAGTAAAGAAGGGTAAGATTCAGGCAACATGAAGTTTTTAAAATGTAAACATCTGTTTGGGGAAGCATGTGTAGGCCAGTTTCTGTCATCCTGTCGTTAGAAATATAAAATACACAGATACACACACAAAGAAGATTGTTTGTGTGCGCGTGCATGTGTGTGTCAGTCAAAGCAAGAGTACAAGTGCACTGATTGAGAAACCCCATTTTTAAACGTTTACTGTGTCTCATACATATGCCAATTAAGTATGTTTTCAGTTATTCCCAGTTGACAATTTTTTCCCAGATTCAGATTTTTTGTTTTCAACTCTACTACAAGCATTGTTCAATTTGAGACAGCTTAATGTGCAACTTTAGACTGTCTGGAGTACTCTGAGCCAGAATGTGAGTTACAATCTAAAGTTCCCTTGCCCCTCCAGTACACCAAGATTATGCATAGTGCTGCCCGAAGGCTCCCATGCTGTCTCACCCGTACATTTAAAATATTTATACATAAAGTCCCTTTGTGCTCCCTAGGAGTTGTGGGGGATACGTATGCTATGGTTTGAGCTCCCAAGCAACCCTTGGGCCACCACATGCTTGGCATGCATGCATGCATACATAGTTTTTGGCACTAGAAGGGATAAGAGGGCTTTTGCAGTTCAAATGTTTTAAAAGAAAAATATTTGTCTAGTAAGGAGGTGTGGGAGTGGATGTGGCCCTCCTGTGTCCCATGGTGGGTATGTGGAAGTTGTCCACTCCTATAGTAGACACTTTATTGCTGACCACAAAAAAACGACCGCTTTCAGTTACATAATTCAGGTAGTAAGAATTTTTAGCAGCATAGGCTGGATGCACTTTGCACTCCCATGAGTAGCTTATCTGCTTGAGTGCTGAAGCTTATATCCTTCCTTTGGTTTTATTTGACTCAGTTGGATAATGTTAGAGGCTTCACTTTCCCTCTTCTGCTTTCTCTGGTATAGTGTTTTCTTTTTCATGAATTTGAGAAGTCTGGGTTTTATTAGAACTGTCCCTTTCAATAAATTCTGAATTCCTCGACTCTACTCACTGTTTCCAGGCCACTACAGTCCTTTTCTACCCGGAGGCCCATGCAAAGATGTGGAGCCTCAGGAGAAAAATGAGATTTTTTTTGGGGGGGGGGTGACATTTTTTTTCTGGTTCAACTATTTTTCCCATTAAACAATGAGTGTAGTGGCAAATGTATTGAGGGAAACCCTCAAATAAAATATTTTTGTCTTAAGGAATGTGCAAAATGTCAAGATTTTACTCATGCAAAATGCTAGTAACTTTGTAAATAAATATTTTGAAGGCTAGGTAAATTTTGCCTATAGCAATATGGAATAATTTTTCTGTAGACATATGCAATCCTTAGATCCAATATGCCTTTTGTGTACCCACTGGATGTTTTACAGAGATATATGTGTGTTGTTGCTTGCCTTCTCTATAGGATGACAATTTTTATCGCTTGCTTTTTATAGTCACAATAAAGGTAGGGCGATTTCTGTACAAATCACACACTTTTGTTGTTTTTGTACAAAATGTGTAGTTTCTGTTTTCATTTTTGCCCCCCTTTACTGCTCAGATGGCAGATCTAGGACATGTTTGCTCAGATAGCATTTGGTTTAGCCTTTGCGATTCTCATTTTAGTTCAGGGTGTATTCATAATTTTGCTTGTACAAAACTATGCTGTTAAATAAGCCAGATACTGTATTATTATTGTATATTCAGAGTTTAAAATGCAGAAAGACAGTAAATTATGTTTGAAATTTTCGTATAATATATTGCATGGTTTTAATTCTTCCTGGAATGCACATTTTTCCTTTTAGAAAATGGGAGAAAGTTTATTCCTCGGCTTGAAAATTTCCAGGAATGTTACAGCTCGGTGCTGTTTATCAACTCCAGCCATGTTATATGGAATATGCTCTGTGGATGCTTGATTTCCACCTAACAAGCAGCTATGAGCTTGAAACAGGTCCCACAGGCCAAATCTCTCATCGTGACTTCATTTTGCAACAGTGGAAGACAAATGTTCCTTGGTTCTTCACTCTCACCCAGTAGGAAACTTGAGACAGCCCCATACCCCCCCCACAACTGGAACTGGCTGTGGACATGGGGACTTCCTAAGACCTGTTGTGTATGTCCCCCCCCCACCATTTTTCCACATTTAACTTCTCTCCTGCTCTTTATAATACCATGTCCTTTATATCATCATCGCCACAAAAGCTTTGCACACAATTTTGTGTGGTTTTTTAAGTTGGTATAATAAAAGGTTTTCATCCACCAAATCTCCAGCTATTTTTTTCCTGCTGTCCCCATTTTATTTGCTGAAGTAGCTGAACCAATTTCCTGGGCGACATGTGGCCTTTGGTCTAATTTCAGAAAGCTTCTGCAAGTGACAACTGCAGATCACTGGCAAGAGTGATGTCTTTCTGCTGGCAGCCCACTGGGCAGATAGAGAGGAAGAAAATTGGGACTGGCAGAAAAAGAGAGCAGAAAGAACAGACTTCTTCCTCCAAATGTGATTCCTGCTAGATCATTCGCCCACAAGGCTGCATCCTTGACAAATAAAGTTTCCCCTGCCCTTGTTTATACTCTTAAATGCAGGTTCGAGAAGAACGCACAAGGCATATCCTTCTACTTGCTCTGTTGCATTTGAAGATACAGCTGTTTTTGTTCCTGAGGGGTGTGTGTATATCTGGCCTCAAATACAAATTCTTGTTTTGAGTCTCTTTGCCTCCTTATGGTGAATTCGTTGGGCAAGGTGAGGCTTGCTGGCCTTTGTATTTGGCTGAGGGAAAGAATTATACAAGTATTGCCCACCCATCTTAGGCTTCTGTGCTGGACAGACTTGCTCTTGTTAGTCTTACTCTAATAGGAACCTTAGTTCCTATTATGCCTGTACAAGGATGATCCACTCCAGTAATACGTAGTAGTTGTCCAAATGTAACATTTGTACATTGTATGCTAGGTTTAAATGGGCCTTTTAGACGTGTTTCAGCTCATTGAGCCCTTCCCACAATTCTTTGGTGACTGTACTTGTACTGTCAGTGCGGCTTAAGTACAATTGCATAACTGATTATTTTTAGATAGCTAAAATAAGCTGCTTGGAGGTTGTAATTAAAATGGATCATTATCATATTAACAAAATCCTCCCCAAGTTAATCTCTGCCTCCTGCTGATTTCCAGTCCTGTGGCCAGTGTTAAAGTTGCTGTTGATTAAAACCCTGTTTTAAACTGTTCTTGCTTGGTGTATGCAAGAGGCCCCTCAAGCAATCAGAGAGATGAAGCTGCAGCCATCAGCCGCTGTCATTTCAGTTTATATAGCATTTCAGAGAGAGGGATGGAGATTGTGTGGCCTGCCAATCTCTGCTGCTCATACGACTCCACTGATGGGGTTGAAATAGTGTCTGTCAAGTGCTTAAAGATTTCACAGATCTAGCCCTGACATGGGTGGGTGAAGTTGAAGATTGGCACCTCCTAATGTGTCACTGTGCCCCTCCTATCAAATTCCTAGCTGCTAGCAATAGTTGCCGAAATATCAGAGGCGTGTCACTGTTGTGGCTTAAATGGTTTCCTAATGTTTGCAGTGATGGTAGCCTTGTGTGTGGGTTCATGAGAAGCTGGAAGAATCCCACACTGTTTTGAGAGATGCAATATGTTGCTGATGGTTTAGTTTTTCTTAACCCCAGACTTTAATGTGGGATACGTGTTCCTTGCATTCCTCCTATGCTGGTATTTCAAACAGCCCAGCATTGGACTAGCTTAGAAATTTAAGAGTGGTCATCTTAGATTTTGTCCCTACTCACCTCCCTCCCAAACACATTAAGCATGGTTCCTCCCCTTTCTTGACTTTCCTTCTTTCCTTACAGCTCGCATTAGTAATGGTGGGGTGATTGGTGGCTATCCTATCATATTGAAGACAAATGCAATAAACCTTTTGAGTTATCTGTAGCAGATTGCCTCGGTGACATATTTGTTTCTATCCCATCAGATTATTAGCACTGTTGGAATTTGCTGAAGAAAAAATGAAAGCAAGTTATGTCTTTATTTGCTTCCGAAAAAGCAGAGAAGACAGAGGTGAGTGCTTCAAACTTGCTCTTTTATTATCTCCTCACCCAGGTTTGTGCAGTAGCTTCTCCAGCAGAAGCCATCTGGTGGTAAACCTTGATGCAAAGTCTAATAACAGCTCTTATTGATGACCCTGTGTGACCCTGGATACGTTGTGAAGGGAGTATTATGTTTCATTGAGTGAAACATAAAATGAGTAGTAGTACTCTATGCATGTTTACCCAGACGTTCCACAGTGTTCAAATGAAGCTTGCCTAGGAATATATCTGGTTTCCAGTCACAATATTAACATTCCTTGGATGGAACAGGAAAAGAAGCAACTTTCTCTTATGATTGTGGAGCTGTTCGGCTCAGCTGAATGCCCATCCAGTTCAAGGAAAGCTGAATGGGCTGTTTAGTGCCTCTGCCCTCTTTCAGACCGTTTTTAAAGCAATGCTTTAAGTATCTATGGATAGGTAATTAAATCAAGGACATTCAGGGGTTAGTGTGACACTAAATTACATACTGGGCTAAATTAAGTAACATTAAATCTGCTACTGCTTGGAAGTTTATGTTGGAATAGTCACAGTACTCCTACCAAATCCTTTTTCTTTAACAGTGATTTCTAAAAAGCTGTTACTTTTCTGCTGGGGCTGAGTCCATAGTGATCTGTCTCATCTAAAAGAAAAACCCAGGACTGCATTTAGTTTTGCAATAGATGACCGTTCTAAGAGTTCCCCTATTTGAAGAAATCTGTTATCAGGCTCTAGATTTTTTTGGCTTGTGATCTCTGTACCTAGAATTAGATGCCTATTTTCTTTCTAACAAGACTCTTACTATGGCTGGTAGATTGTGATATCAAGATACTTTTTGTAGGCCACTTTGCAGCATAGACTGAACAAGCAATGGGCATGAGAGGGACCTGACAACTATTCAGACTTGGGGAAGTGAGAACAGCGGTAATAAGAAATCATAAAATGGTGAAATATGTATTTCTTGGAATTTGCACTGGTGTGCCTATAACTGTGTGGCTCTTCTGTCGTTACAGCTCCGTTACTGAAGACATTCAGTTTTCTGGGTTTTGAGATTGTGAGACCTGGCCATCCTTGTGTCCCATCACGACCAGATGTGTTGTTTATGGTGTACCCCCTGGATCAGGTCTCTGATGATGATGATGATGATTAGATCCCGTGCAGCACTTCAGTGGGACCTGGACATGCTTCAAAGACAAGAGGGGGCAAAACATCCTCTTCTGAGGAAAGGAAAAACAAAATTCCTCTGGACTGAAACTGCATTTCTTATTGTTAGAGTGACCTGTATATCTTCTGAGTTGACTTTTCCATTGAAATGTGTTACTTAGCAAATAATATAAAGTCTGCACATGTAATCGCACAATAGTAAATGAAAGGTGAATGGAGCCCTTTCAGCTCTGTGGTCTGCTGGTTAGCCTAGTGGAAACACCCTGTCTGACACACAGTGGGCGAGAAGCTCGCTGGTGGAGAGAGGGACAGGCTCGTCAGTTGTTCTGTTAGTGTTGGGCTCTGTGTTCTTTTGGCTTTCCTTTTGAGTAACTATATTTATGTGTTCACTCAGGCTCTTAAGCAGAGGGCACACTTTTGAGTGTAGAAGGTGGAGGAACATGAACACTTTTTAGCATACTAGGTGGTGCCACTGGCGTAACCAACACTACAGGTTTCAGGAAAACATTGTCCTATTCATATTCTTAGGCCACAGCTTTCCATAAGTAGAGTCAACGTATGAAACTGGCCTTGCTTTTGAGAAAACGAGCTGCGTAAGATACCTCAGAGGCACTGTGGCAGTGTTGTGTTCTGCTGTAGTATGTGGCTACAAGCAGCGAGTTGAAATGTCTGGGTAAGCGCATGCCGTAACAGGGAAAAGAGGCACGTTTTAGCATCTAGTCTACCATGCCTGAGGGAGAAACCTTATACTTAATAGCTCCAATAGATTCCCATACAGCCAATAGAGTTCAGAATGCTTATAGGAAACCTGACCTGATACTTAGCTATTCTTAGTCTTCAATCATATGCTCTTACTTGGACTTAAGCCCCATGTTTGCAAGAGCAGACCGCTGAGAAAAAATACTTCCCCAAAGCAACTCATGATTAGAAACATCATGCCTCATCCTTCTTTGAATAATAGCTTTCTGTGGATATCAGATTACAATTATGATGCTTACCTTTCTTCAAACAGCTAGTGTCTTGAAACTTCATTTGCAGTATAAACTCCCACCACTCTTATTTGTCTCTTCACTGATTTCATTCTTGTAGTGTTATTCAGAACCACTGACATCTTTAAAGAGGCCTTACTTACACTGATGTTTTGGGTCATTTCTCTCATTAATGTGGATCATGATACAACTGGATATTGCTAAAAGAGAAAACCACATACAGCCTAGGACAGAATCTGCAGCAACATGCTTCCTTGGCCATTACATGATTTCTGGATTCTGTGTGTTTGTTTCACTAGACGTTACCCTCAAGTGTGACCAATGTGTTTCTCACTTTAAAAATATGGGGCTGCAGTATTTGAAATTGAGACTGTCCAGCTCTTTGCTTTCAGGCTTTTGCAAAGAAGGTAGCTAGATGGTGGTAGCGGGAAGAAATTGAAATCGTATTTCTCTTCTGGTTTCAAATTGAAGCACCCAGCAAATGCTGACTTAGACATTAAGAGCCACCCTGTGGGTAATGTGAAAGGTTGAAAACTAGTACCAGCCATGAATTAGCAAAAGATCTAAGTAAAGGTAAAGGTTCCCCTTGACATATAGTCCAGTCATGTCCGACTCTAGGGGACAGTTTCAAAGCCATAGAGCCAGCATTTGTCCAAAGACAGTTTCTGTGGTCACATGGCCAGCATGACTAGACACAGAACGCTGTTGCCTTCCTACCAAGGTGGTACCTATTTATCTACTCGCATTTTTACATGCTTTCAAACTGCTAGGTAGGCAGGAGCTGGGACAAGCGACTGGAGCTCACTCCGTTGTGTGGATTCGATCTTACGATGGCTGGTCTTCTGACCTTGCAGCACAGAGGCTTCTGCAGTTTAACCAGCGCCACCACATCCCTTGTAAAGATTTAAGTACTCATCTGTAATATTCTGATTTGAGTATGAAAAGTTAAAATAGTTCTGTTCTCTGGTGACGTCTTGCTATGTACAGGGTGCTGGTGCTTGGTAGGCAAGCTGTATTGTCCAGTAAAGTGATGAAAAGAATTGTCATTACTTTGCAGGCCAGTTTGTCTACCAAATATACATGCTCTCTAGCATCTGCACTCAATATGTGTCTTACAAGTAGCATAAAAGAAATGAGGCTCATAAAATTGCTCCAATATATTAAGGTCTTTTATGAATCAATTCAAGCTGGGTATTACTTTATTGGGTCTTCTAGCAATTGCCTCCTTTGCCCGCTAGGACTTCAGAATGTACTTGTGGTGTTAATTTTACTTTATTGGCTCTTGTGTGCTTGATTTTGCTGGTACATAAAAAATAGTAATACTTCTGTTTCTTAATAGCAATTCATGGCAAGCATTCTAAAATGTATTTGTCTCATACAGCAGCATTATGTCTGTTGCTTGTAAGTACATGTACTCATATGTATAGTCATCAGTTTTTAAACACACGTCAGGGAAAGGCCTGAGACGTTGCTATCAGTTTTGCTGCTTTCAATGTGCTACTATTTAGCCTCACTTTTTCTTGCATCAGTGTTCTTTTAAACACCTCTTTGAGCTAGCAGTATATGCTTACTAAGGGATAGGACAGTGGATGACAGCATAAAGATCTACAGGCACTAGAACAGAATTATTCATGTACATACATCAGCTGAAGCAAGAGGTAGCTCTTCATCCTACACCAGATTAGAAGAGGCTGCATATTAAAGGAACAATTGACCCAATAAACCCAGTCTGCCGAGGGCTGATCTTCCAGCGTATTGATTATCACAGAGCTACCCTTTTCCTAAACTGTTTTTGCCCACTGCCTCTTCCATGTGTTCCAGGACACTATTTGTGAACAACAAAGTTCTTTAGTCTCTCAGTCCCTTCTGTACTAGCAATGACTGTTCAAATGTTACTACCTTGGTAAACTCACCACACAAAGAGTGTTCCAGCTCTTTGCTTCCACTCCTGGGTTTGTTACCTGCCTTCGTATGGAAGAGGCAGTTCTGAAGTTCCCAATTCAAATGGACATCGTCCACAAGCAGCAGAGCCCTGCAAAATTCAACCTGCTCTCACCTCTTTCTTGGTCACTAATGAAAATGTCACAAAGTGAAGAGGTAGTAATTTCCCCAGTCTTGACTCCTCCCAGGTTTAACACCAGCTTTTCCTTTGCTGTTTCATTTTCTTCCCCCTGAAATTGGAAGGCTCACTAACATTGCCCATAGTGTCTTTGTTTCGAAGGCCATTTTTCTTTTAGCATATTCTATTTGTTGTGATTTCCCCATCTTGTCTTACATAGAACTATTTTATATACAACAAAGTTATATATCATTTCAGTTAGATATTCTGAAGTTATTGGTCACTTCACCAAATTGTAATTTACCATTTATTGCTAGCGTTACTTCAGAGAATAAAATATAGCTTTTATACCAAGCAGCATGCCAATAAGATTTCAGCCGTTACTAATAAGGCTGTATTTGAGGGAAAAATCCAGCTATTACAAGTGAATAATTTTAATCCTGTTTTGCCACTAAAGGCCCTGTTTCTTCCAACCTCTTACTTTTCACTGGAGTTCTTTTCATTCAAAAGTAAGTGCTGCAGGCATCCTCAGAAATGCAACCTAGTTGTGACCTATGTAAAGAGTTATGCTATGGCTAGACACATGTCCAGTAGGTTGATTCAGGATAGGAAGAGAGTCCTGATCAGTGATGTGTATATTCTAAACAACAGGAGATGCAGCAGGGAGCCTGGAATTAGCTGATAACATATTTGAAGACATATTTCTAGCCCTTACTGCAGGTACCTTATGTGGATTGTGGAACAATGACCCAAGGAAGATTGTAGCTACAGAGATTTCTACTGACAAATGGCTTGTTCATCCAGGTGATTAAACAGAATTCATTCTGTAAAAATTAAGTGAAGGTGAGGATGACTCAGTTTATCATAAAAGCACACTTTAAAAAGAAACGTAGCCCTAGGTATATAGTGCTGCAGTTCTGAGTCAAGTTGTCACAACAAAGCTTGGGGTAAAGTCAATCTTTACATCTGCTGGCTTAACAAGACCAAGATAGTAGACGATAACAAGCTTGCTCTGCACCGAGTGGCAGAAGCCAAAGAGCAGCTACGGTTGGCTGGGTCTTGGTCCTTCAACATTCAGGGGAAAGCAGTGGTGGGGTTTTTTTGTTTTAAAAAGAACACACACAAACATAAGTTTGTGCATGGATGTATGTATTTTGGAAAGAATATAGTAAAGTACACTTTTTACAGTGCATTGACAGGAAATCCTGAACTAAATGCTTAACATACCAACTCTGAAGAAAGACAAGGCTTTGCACCCGTCAAAAATTGGGGCTCCAAAATAGTATTTCTCAACTTGTAAATCAGGCTAATGGAATAAGGGTGAAAAGGAACTTAACGTATGGAAGAAAATGGCCCTAAGTGACTCATTAGTGTAGTACTAACTGCTCCTACCCTCAACTTTCCATGCTCTTTATCTCAAAAGCAGTAGTTGGGGAGACTACCGGTCCATCAAGACAAGACCAGCGGCACACCCCTTTCCTTTCCACTGCTTCAGAGCGGACTCGTAGTTTGCAGTCCAGCAGGCCTATCGTGCCTGTGCATGATGCGCCATGCCCAACAGCACCAGCATCTCCGCTTCCAGACAGAATGGCCAGGCCCTTCTCCGTTACACACAAGACACTCCCAAGTACAATTTTTCCTGAGACCATGCTGGTGAGAAATAAGCATTTCTCTTGAAGGCAGCCTTGGCTCAGATTTTTCCCAGTGCAAGATCCGGGTTAGATGACAGGCAGCCTATCTGAGGGATGCACCTGAAATAGCAGGTAGTGGAACAGCAGAACAGCCACAGCATCTTTTATTCCCGGTGGCAGGTCCACCTCCCACTCCATAAATTCTGTGTAAGAAAACCACTTTTGCTTTAACGGACGTATATGAAACCCCAAGCTGGGAAAGAAACAACCACAACAGGTTTCAAACAATTCCTTTTTACAGTATATACAAAATCCAAGAGGCAGAGAGAGGCCTCACAACAACATATAGACAAGAAACAGAAAGACAGAGCTGAGGACTTGCATTGTTGGGACAGACGTACATCACCCACTTAGGTAGTTGACCATGTAGGGCAAGAAAGATCTTCCCCAACCACTATTCAAAGTGATCACTTGGCAGGAAATTCTGATAAAGACAGGCAGGTTCCCAATGGGAAGCTTCAAGTGAGGAACACTGGCAAGGGTTAGGGGTGAGGAACCTTCCTATGATGGCAGGAAATAACCTTCCTTTGCACTGGAATTAGCAGAGCACTTTGCGAGAGGAGGTCAGTCTTCAACTGCCTTGGCCAACAGGCTAGGTTATCTCCTACTCTGGTAGAGGTTGACGCTACAGGTGAGCTGCCTGTTCCCTGTTAGGATTGCTCTCTCCATCTTGGTAAGGCCAAGAACTCCCATGCTCGAATCTCAGGCCCAGCAGGCACCCATCCTTTCACTTGCCACAGAGGAGGGAATGAACTTGCAGCTGTGGAGAAGGAAGAGCTGCATGCCTGAAGTTTAAACTGTGACATCTGCACACTCTTACCACGGGACTGAGATCTTAAAAGGAGGGCGGTGGTGGGGAGGATCGGGGGGGGGGGGTTTATTTTATTTTACTTCTCTGTTTTTCATGCCACTGAAGACATTACGTCTTCCGGCAGAGTGCAGCGAAGATGATGGTGCAGGAGCCGTGGAAACCCATCCCAAGAGGAGCAGAGCCAGCCTGCCAAAAGGCCCTATTTTATGCAGAACTGAATGTATGTTTTTGTGCTGTACTGCCAAAACAGCATCTGCCACTCGCAACACACAAGTCCTGCCAGCAGGGAGAAGAGTCAGAAAAACAGCCCATAGGAAGGAGAGCCTGTCAGGAAGCACAAGGGAGCAGCAGTCCTAAGAAACAAAGTGCTACGGAGTTTTTCAGTGTGGTTCCTGGCAGACGAGCACACAACTGACTAGGCCGGCTGTATTACCTACCCCTATATGCCCCATTTCCCAGGCCAGCAGGAAGCAGGAGAATCCTCTCTTTCCCTGTGATCCTTGCAGGAGTGCCCCTACTTGTTTGTGCCAAGGAAACAATTACCACTAGTAAAAATACACCATCTGGATCTTCTCTTCAGCCGATCCTGGAGTAGTTGTAGCTCAGGTGCAGAAGAGCTGCAAATGGAATCCGGGGGCTCACATGGCCTCCCTTCCCATGATTCCAAGTGTCCAGCAATGCCACACTGCTTGGCCCACGGAGTCCCTACTCCAGAGGAATTCTGGAAATTGGCCAGTCAACCCCAAGTCAGGTGAATAAATATTTCTGCAAGTCCCAGCTCCACAACTCACACATACGGGGCTCAGCTTGTGTTCAATGGGGAGGAGGCAGGAGCCTGCCTCGCTTTACGGCAGGACCATCAGGCAGAACAATCAACACCATTCAACTGATGTCTTACGCAATTTCCAGCACTTCCTCATGTGAGCCAGTCACATGGCTTAGTATAGTATAGCCTAGGTTATCCAATCGCATCATGTCCTGTTAAAAAGAAAGGAGAAAGGTAACTCGGCACCCGTTCGGGGGTCCTTCCAGCCACATGGTGGCGCTGCAACCACAAAAACCAGGAATTAGAGGAGTTCAACTGGTAATTATTTCATCCTCAACTGGGGATAGATGGGCTTGGATGCTGCTATAAATAGATATCACTAGCAGCAAAAGAGACAACATAGGACAGATCAGGCAAGATTTCTAGCCATGACACGGTTGCAATCTTGGGTTAGAACCAACGGAAGGCGAACAGCTCTGGGTCATAACCAGGAAGCAATGAGGACTGGAGTAAAAAAATGGAAGGTCAACCAGGGAAATGCACATGACCTTTATTATGCCTTTGCTGCAAAGTGCACAAGGCACTTCTATATGGAACGGCCAGTCTCTCTAGTTTATAGGAGAGTTCATACTCTAGGAAGAGGACCGCCCTTGCCTGGTGGTTATGCCCGGTGGCACTGCCTCCCTTCATTCTCAACAAGCTCCCGCTTTAACCCGATGGCACAAAGGGGGAGGGGGAAATTCCTTACCATTTTCACCTCCGGGGTGGGGGATATAGGGAAGGAGCAGAGCCTTGCTGAGTGGCAACAATGGCTGTAGATGAAAGACCTGCAGTGAAGAAGAATTACAGTGTACAAAGGGAACACGAGAATACAAAAAGCAGGAGGTGCAAAGCAGCCTCCAACATCACACTAGGCTCCAGTACACAGAATATTTCACGCTGTGTACAAGAGGGGATTTAAAGATGGAGTGAGGCAACTGGAGATTACTGAAGGCGAGACAGATGGCTGCAAGTGGCCCCTTGGCTCTGGCCCAGCCTCGAAGCCCAAAGCCCAGCCATATGGTGACCCCAGAATTTTTCCATTCCACCCCTCCAGAGGTTCCCTTGGCTCTCACCTGTTGCATAGGGCAGGTTGTACTGGGCCGGTAACAATGAATAGCCCAGGTGGTGGTGATGGTGATGTGTAGACATCAGACGCTGTGAAGGAGAGGAGCGTGGCCGGTCAACGCTTCTCTCAGCACCACCGGCTCCCCCTACACCGCTGCAGCCCGCACTGCTGCCTCCCACCCCACAGCCACTGCGCTCCTGAGAGGCCTTCTCGCCTATCTGTAAAAGTAACCAGACAGAGACACACTGAAGCGTGGTGGTGGCAAAGGGAGCCAGCCGGGCGCAACAGGCCAGTCAAGGTCTTATATATCACTTCCTTGCAAGCTGGTGACAGCATTTCTGGAGCCAGGATGCACTCCAAGAGAGAGGCAGCCAAGGCATCCCATGAACAGTGTGAACGCGGAAGGACTGGGTTTCAGAGTGAGCCTGGAGCTGGATAGCTCAGGGCGGCCATCTGCACGGGACAGACAGATCTGCTTCCTGCCCCTGCCCACCACTCACCGTTGGAGACTTGCTCTTATAGTGGCTGGCGTGCTGCTGAAGGATGTCCAAGGCCTTGGATTCAGAGCTGGATTTGCAGCCAATGCTGGGGCTCGCTCGGGACTTCTCACTCTCCTCGCTCCCGGAGGATTTGCTGCCATACGGAGAGAAGGAGTAGCTGGAGGGCAAGTAGGAACCTGCGGAGGAGAGGCCAGTCAGGATTTTTCCTATTCACTCCAGCAGAAATCTCACAAAAGGAAAATGGTGAGAAGTTTATAGGACAGAAAGAAATATGTGAGAGTTGCGCATACCACAAATAATCACTAAAATCTGGGATAATTTGTCATTCTTCCTGCTTTTATTAATGTACAGATAAAGAGCCAAAATCCTAGTGTGTAACTCTGCTTGTTCAGCAGGAATAACATCACCAGCAGTGCTAGACCGCCACTAACTAGAGTTCCTAGTTTGATTGTGGGTTGAGCATGACTTCATCTCATTGTGTGCATGTCACATGCAACCCAGAATCAAAGCAGGAGCTCTTCAATTAATGGGAATCTGCTGCCACTAAAACTTCAATCCTTCTGCACTGGCACTTATGCAAAAGGATACTGGACAGCATTTTCTCCATTACTTAAAATGCATGGATAATCTGAGTGGAAAACTTAGAAGGATGCAACTATTAATTAAAAACAAAGCAGCTTATTACATTTTTGATGTTTCCACGTTTTGAGGAAAACTGCATCTACTGATTACAAAGATTCTCTCTGGGAAGGGTCATAAAATATTACAGTACTACACAAAAATTTGGGGGCCGAAGGCCAAATGGGACTAACTCACAAGAAAATATGCACTGAGACTCCAACACTAGTTTCAAAAGTTGTAATGGTATTATAATATGCTCTGCCTGAGATGTCTACCTGGATGTAAAGCAGGCATGGATAAAGTGAACCACATCATGTTTTCAGATGGGGGGGGGGAATTAGGCTCAAACAGTTCTATTATAGTGTCTAGGGTTGTGGGAAAGATTTTGCTGTATTCTGAGTACCCTTGCCCGCATTATTTTTCACGCTGGCCACTAGAGGGTACAAAGAGGTTTTTTAGTACGCTCACACTTTTGTAAGGCAACATGTAGGGGACTGGAGGCAGAGGGTGTGTGTGCATGTTTTGCCCCAGACCTCTGAAGGCTGCCCACGCCTGGCCCAGAGGCATCCCAACACCACCCCAATTGGCCATCTTTTTCCAAGAAGAAAAAGGCCAACCTCTTTCACTACCAATCCAGACTTCATCATTTTATGATTTACATGCAAGATATCTGCTAAACAGTTGGAAAGCACCCCCAAGTGCTCCTACCTGGGTAGTTCTGCATCATGACAGTGGGCATGCCACGGTAACTGGGGTGGTTGGGGTCATATGACTGGCTGTAGGAGTAGCCATGCATGTACGGGATATACGACTGGTGCTGGCTGAGGGGCGAGGACACGGGCACGTGTGTGCTGGGCCTGGCCTCCTTCCCCACTAGGCGCGACTCCTCACTGGAGGGCATTTTACAGTCAGAGCTTGTGCTTTCTTTCCCATCCTCCTTAGCAATGGGCTCTTTGCTGCGACTTCTCTCCTCCTTTAACTTCCGATCCCTCTCTTCCTTCCACCGCTCATCCTCTGTCTTGATGTCGGAGTACTTAGCGGGGTAAACATAGGTCCACATACGGGGCTCGGCTTCCTGCAGCGACACAGAATCAAGCAGTCAGGTGTCTAGATGTTCCACAGCACAGATGCTGACATTAAAAAAAAGTTTTGGAAATTTTAGTTCCGATTATTGAAAAAGAGCCTTGTATATGCAATTAAAGGGAAAATAAACTTTCAAAATGCATGGACTGTATCTAGCAAAGCCTCACCACTTTGAGAAGAAAGAACAAGAGCTTAATCCTCCACACATTCCCCTTTAAACTTTTGTTTCTGTCATCCTACAGTGGCCCTCATGTGCCTTTGCCAGATCATACAAACCTTGGCTCTGAAAATAATATTCTCCATTCCCCATAACTCTGAAATCTAAGTTATACAAAAGGCACTTCACTGAATTCTCTTCGTTTTATTCTTCATCTATGCCTTGTTGGGAAGATGCAGGAATTCTGGGTATGAAATTAGCTTAGGTTTTTCTTTTATTTTAGGTGAATTAAGACAAAGTGCCAAGCTATCCAAACCTCTTCATAATTAAGATGGCAAGCTTTTGAATCACCAACCTTTGGGAAAGGAACAGCATCAGAAATTCACAATCCTTGACAACTCTGCAGCCACAGCCCTCTCAAACACAAGGAGCCTTTTTTTTTGGTGGCCCTTCAACAAAAATCAACATGTCAACATATTCTACACTGGCAATCCATTTCCTTTTCCGATGAAATGTCCCAGCCCCTTGCCTAGGCATTGGGCTAAGCAACAGACATCCCTCCCCCCCCCCAAAAAAAAGCCAAGAAGCAGTAAGATGAGACAGAAGTAGAGGACCGAGAGAGAGAGAGAGAGCTGGTTCAGGCCTCTTTCCCTTCTCCAATTCTTACTCCATGCAGCTCAAACAAGGGACTGATAAAAGAAGCAGCAGAGGCAGTCCAGCTGCTTGCCCAAGTACTGAAGCTTGCTCATTACTTCCTAATGAAGTGACAGGAGAAATGGAAAGGGGTTAGGAACGAGCTTGAAGGTCACTGAGACAGATGTCTTGCAAAGCGTCCTCAACCCCATGAAGCACGCTGCCTAGACCTCAACTGAACTGAAGCAGAACCCAAAAGCGATGAATCTATTTATTATTCCATGAGAATTAAATTTTCTCCTTGTATGCAACTGCCCTTTTCTTCAACTTCTGTACCTTGAGCCCCCAATCTGAATGAGTCACAGAGACCATGAAAAAGAACTCTGAGCTCCTCGCCATGACTGGCCCAACCATGGCCTAGAAAATGGCCAGGCTGCAGCTCTCAAAACACATTTTAGATCAGAAAGGCAATTTAATGACAACAGCGAGAATACCACATACAGCAGTTTATGAGCCAGCAAAGGTCAAGCTTAATTCAAGGACTCCAACTAAGAGACTGGGGGGTAAAAAGTAGGACGAAAGCATCAGCATACTTGGAGTGATCAAGCTGTAGGTTAGTTCATATATGGCTCTTACTCTAGTCTAATCTTCCATTTGCAACTGGAGCAGCCGTTCTCCTAGAAAGAGATTCCAAGATCCAGAAAGCTAGCAAACTGAGCAAGGGCCAAGAAGGAATGTGGATTTCCTCTTTCCCTACTGCGTATCCTCTACTCTGCCCAGAGCCACACAATTGCTTTCCAGGACTAAGAAAGTCTGGGAGTACTTTCTGGCTTGACATTTGCTTTTCCCACTTCAAGGAACCATGCATATCCCCTTCCATTTACCTGTCTGTACCAGAGCACTGGGTCTACTTCTGTCTGGCGGCCACAGTCCAAGGCAATCTTTGACTCTGTGGTCTCCTTGCTGAGGTGGCTGTCGCTTAGCTTTCCCTTGAGGCCTTCTGCCGTCTGGCTTTGCAGCTTTAGGGAATCCTCCAGTTTGGGAATAATGACGGACTTGGCCACATCACCCCCTTGATCCTTGGCCTTATTCAGTCCGGATTTAACCAGGTCAGTCAGACTGGGTGCTTTGGTTAGAGTGGGAGGAAGAGATTGCTTCGGCTTCCATTCCTCCTTGAGGGCTACCTCCCTCTCTTTCAGCCCCAGCTCCACCTTCTTGTCCATCCCACGCTGCTGCTGTTGCTGCTGTTCCAGGCTCTGTCGCTGCTTCTGCTGGTCTTCATACTGCTGCCTATAGGTGGGGTTTGTGCTCAGCAAGTGAGCATGGTACCCTTGCTCACTATAGCCATAAGGAGGCACATAGGCATACTGGTTATAGTAAAGCGACTGCATGTACATATTAGATCTCTGTTGGATGACAGAAGGCTGCTGACTGGAGGGGCCCAACTCCGGCTTCTTTTCCTCACAAGCTTCATTCTTCACCTTCACCTCTGGGCTTGGGGGCTCCTCATCCTTCTTCAGTTTCAAGGCCTGGCCATCCATGGCAGTTTGGCTGTTGGGATTAATAGGCCCTGGACTTGACTGTGCATAACCGGGTGAGTAGTAAGCTTCAAAGCCCTGGTAATAAGGAGACTCCTTGTTTTGAGGCTGAGATGGGAAGAGGGCTTTTTTGGCCCCTTCCTTGGCAAGCTGCTCAGGATCCCTCACCTTCATGCTCTCCAGCTTAGCCTCCCCATCCTCCCCTGCATCTGAGATGTCAGAATAGGCCGGGCTATTTGTTTTGGCAGAACTAGCTTCAGCACCATTGTGAGTAACCACATGAAGTGGAGTCATGGGCTGCGTGGGTGCTGCAGCGCTATCTAGTCGGCTGGCCCCTCCAATAGACGGGCTTGGGGCATTATCGGTAAAACTATAGATCTTGTCCGCCTCAGCCTTGATGCTGGCAAGACGGCTCTGGTGAGGGTCAGTGGAGCCATTCAGAAGGCTCTCCCCTTTAGCCCCAAGATCAGGGGGTTCTCCTCGGAATGGGCTCTTGCCCTCCTCGGCTCGACACACTTTCCCAGGCGTCAAGGGGCTCTCGATCTCCTTTGACTCTTTCTTCTTCTTGTCTTTCTTCTTCTTGTCCTTGACAGGAGTAAGTGTTGGGCTGACGGTGAAAGGTTCTCCCATGACCGTTGGTTTGGGTTGGATGGGCTTCAGCTGGGGGCTGTTGGGCATGGCCTGCACAACGGTGGTGGTGAGCCCTGTCGAGGAGACAGGGCTTGTGGCAGTAAACGTGGCCGCTTGGAAGGTGTAGATCTGAGGAGGAATGGCCGGGGCAATAGGACGGGCAGACTTGATGCTCTTTGAAGATACCTTCTCCGGCTTGACGCTGAGGGGCTTTTTTGATTTTTCTTTGTCGCTGCCCCTCTTTTCTATCGAGTCAAAGCCATCATTGCTTGTTTCGTCAGCGACTGAAGGACCGTCCTCAGAGCCATCATTGGAAAGAGCCCCGGAATCAGGATCTCCCTCACCACCTAGTTTCTTCTTGCAAGGAGCCTTAGTGTTGAATTTGCTGGATGATGAAGGGCTGTGGGGTTCTATCAGCCGCACTTTGGGAGTGGTTGATCGAGCTGGAGACAGAGAGCCCTTCTGGCTACCAGAGGCACCGTTGCAGCTGCCCAGGTCAGCAGGAAGGGACGATTCCTCTCCATACTCGCTATCCCCATCAGCCTCAGGCTTGCTGTCATCATCTGTGTGTGCGTGGGCCTGGTGGTACTTGAGCCCATTGATGTGCTTGTACTTTTTGCTACAGTTGGGATGGGGGCAATCAATGAGGATGGGGGACGGGCAGTTTCTATCCAGAATGGCAGGCTCCACCTTGACCGTAGTTGAAGCCACAGCTGCGGCAGCTGCCGCCGCCGCCGCCACCATCGGTGCAGCAGCTGAGCCCATGGAGTTTGTGCGCACTCGCTTACTCCCCTTGGAGTCCTCGGAGCTGGAATTCACTTCCAAGTCAGAGAGGGGTTTGCTCTTTCGCTTGGTCACAGAGGAAGGGCTGGCCTTGACATCCTCGGGCGTGCCGCTGGGCGGGAGGCGGTGCTCTGAAGAGTTCTGGCTGCCTCGGCGCCCCTTGCTGTTGGCTCCTGCCCGAGTCTTGCTACTATTGCTGGTCCCTTTGCTCTCTGAAGCAGCTGTGCTTTCGTTCATAGGTGGGTTGTTATTGGGGCGCATGCGCTTGCCCCTTCCTCGACCATTTCGCATCTCCAGGTCACTGGTGGGAGAGTCACAGAATCTAGGAGAGAACAGAGCAGGGCTTAGGAACAAGCAGTTGGCTCTCAAGCCATTTCCTCTTTTTGCCACCAAGTCTCTCCTGGAAGTTGCCTTTAGTCACTTTAGTATGCAGTGGCTAAAAGAATACCGGAGCCTCTGATCCAAGTATCCTGCATTTACTTGCCTACTAATGTACTAGTTTATTTGGGATATGAAGCAGGCAGGAAAATAGATGCACAGTTTTTTTTTAAAGCAGGAATAGGTAGGCTGCATAGTCCATGAGATTATTGAATTTATCTAGAATCCTAAAATATTCAGCTTCCACTGTATAATTCTAGCATTCAATGTTGCAGGCATAAGCAGAAACCTCACTGCTAAAAGCAAAAGTGAATTAGCCAATTAGCCAACACCCCCTTTTTCAATCCTAAAAAAGCAGATCAGTGCAACATTAAATTCTCTTGATGAAGCACAGACACGGTAACTGAAGGCCATTTTTCTTAGGGACAAGTTGCACCCACAGAAGTCAGCATGGGGCCTGCAAGGTGGTTTAGAAATTTTGTCTTTCAACTCAGTACTTTCATATTAGGAAGCAGCACTAGCCATAAAGAGCTCTAAATTTAAATCAGATCCATCTCCTTTGGCCAGGAGAAATGAAAACAGTTGTTTTCATTCCACAGATTGGATAAGTTAGTTGGAATATTTTGGGAGCTGAGGTCCAGAAGTAATTTTTCCCCTCTCTCTAGTTCTCATTCTACAATGGACATATATTAAAAGAGAAAAAGAAGATACAGAGTGGCAGCCCTTCAGTGCTGTTTGGAATCAAAGCATCTCTCCTTTAATGGATGGCTAACCAATGAGAAGGTAGTTATCACAAGGAACACTGTGAGGCAGCTCTCTGCCTTATGCTTTACCTGGGTGGTGCCCAATCATGTTGAGTGCAGTCCAGCAATGTCCCCACATAAGTCTTATTCCTCCAGGTGACGTTCACCACCAACATACCTGTGTGAGCAAGAGAAAACAATGGTAACATCCTAGGCTCCAGCACTGGTAAATCCAGTAAGAAAACTACCTTTCAAAAATATATCTGTAGAATATACTTATTAATAACACATTGAAGTAGTCCCAAAGTAGAGGATGGGTCAAGCATTTTAAAAAAAAAAGTCTGCTGTTGATATACTGCCCCATACCGCTCAAAGCACTCTCTGGGTGGTTTACAATTCAATTATGCAAGCTACACATTCCACCCCCACCCCAAGCAAGCTGAGTACTTACTAATTTACCAACCTCAGAAGGATGGAAGGCTGAGTGAAACTTGAGCCAGCTACCTGGAATTGAACAATTTCGGCTGCATTACTGTAGTTTAACCATGAGGTTCAATTTAAATCAGGTTCAAGCCCCTTCACACTGCATACCACTTGTAAGGAGTTAAAACCTACCCTACCCTAAACTCATGTGAGCTTTCCTAGCCAGTCGCCATGCTAGCTGTGGGATTCTGGGAGTTTTCATTCAAAAAAGAAACTTCTCCAAGCTCTGCTTCCATCCTCCTTGAGAACAAAACTTGAAGGTATAGGCTCTAGGATTAGGTCACACAAGCCCCAAAGGAAAACTGACTCCTTCTAAATCCTACATCAAAAGCCAGCACAGTATTAATCAGAAGTGGGAAACATAATTAAGAGTTAGCGACTGTACAGAATGTACTTGCAAGCCCTCCAAGGCCAGCTGCATGCATCTTTCCAGTTTCAGCATTTTTAGGGCACATTCATTATACTCCTAACTGCAGACTTGGTTTATAAGCTGTTCAGAAACCTCTGGAGGAGCAAATATTTGAGATCACCAGCTGTGAGAAACAAAAGTCTTGGTACTCTTTCCACAAACATGTTCTCACAGATTTAAAAAACAACAACAACACTCCATCTATCAAATAGGACTTGCCCTCCTTTATGGCACATTTTTGGGATTGCACTGCAAAACCAATCTAGAGGGTCCCAACTGTAATCTGATGTGTGCGTTGTGTACTGTAACTCTAGGCTTGATGAGCAAACCATCTGTCCTGCTGCCACAGGCAGCTCTTCCTATGTGCTTTTGGCAGAAATGTAGGGATAGCACCTATATACCTGGCACACATCTACAGTCCCCACTGCCAGATGTCCCTAAGTACTTTTAAGAATCAGAGCCACAGTGAAAGGTTACATATAATTCAGCAATTAAGTAGACCTCAGGTGGCCAGCTGATTAAAGCCAGCCATTTGTTTTCTACTTTCTATGCATACAGTACCTGTATGTTCAAGATCTTCAGTTTTAAAACCATGTAAATACACTTCTTGCCTTCATAGTTGTTGAGACATTGAAAGAGCACAGTCGGAACACTAAGTATGTAGATTTCTGAAACTCGCATGCACAGCAAAGCCTATTTGTCCCTCTTTTATGGCCTTTTCTACAAACCCGCACCATATCCTCCCTTCGTTTCTTGCCAGAAAAGTCAATGTTTTCAATGGAAAAAGTCAACTGAGCCTCAAGTATCAGGTTTAGAATAAAATTTGCAAACTGAGAAAGTATATGAAATACACTTGCATAGATGTACTGACATACATAATTCAAATCTGAACAAAAAATGTGGACTTCCTTGCTACAGATTATATATAGCCTGGCTCACACAACTCTCTATCAGAAAACAATTATGCTAAACGGTTTTATGCCATTAGCAAAGTTAACTCAAGTGAGTGTTCCCTTCTCCTAACAGCCTCCTCTAAACTATTGCAATCAGTCAAAATGTACTTACAAATGCAATAGTTCACTTATGCAACAATGCATTTAAAAAACTCCCTAACAACCTTTAAACATCTAATAATCGTTTTCTTATGTCTGTTATCAAAAATCAGTCCATAGCTAACTCTACTGATTAATTTTTATATGACGGCAGAAATTTAGTATAGAACTGGGCTGATCTACTATAAAGAACCAGTCATGAACAGTGAGTTCAGAGTCAGAAATGACAAAAACAAAAAGACATATTCCACATAGACCATCTTATTATTATACAAACAAGCCCTACCTATCTTTCTGTTGGCTAAGAGGGATAGTTATGATAATAGAATAGTCAAATAGTTACAGACACATCATTCTTCACATCGTACAGTTCTGCATATTCTACAGATCTCTACGATAAATGGAACATATTATAAGGAAAAGCGGGTTAGATTCAGATGGAAGGCAGAAAACTGTTGGAAGAAACAACAGTAATTTAAGAGAAGCAGGTGACATCCTATTACTGGCAGAAAACTGTCATGATTTGAAACACAGATGAAGGTTAAAGAAAAAAATGCAAAGGCACTGAGAAGACAAAAACACTGATTACAGAAGAATTACATAATTTTAATGGTGACAATGAAGAAATCAAAACTTAGATTTTCTATGCCTGGGTTCATTCATCAATCAAAATAGAGACTGCAGCCAGGAAATCATAAGACTGAGACTTGGAAAGGTAACAATGAAGGAAGTAGAAAATATCCCTAAGTGTAAGGATGTGTTGCTGGAGGCCAAGATCATCCATACTATGATATTTTCAGTCATCATGTTCGGATAGAGGAACTGAACAATGGAGAATGCTGACAGGAAAACATCAATTCATTTGAAATGTGACATTGGAAGAGAGATTTATAGATATCACAGACCACTAAAAAAAACAACAGTAAGCTCTAGGTCAAATTGATCTGGACCTCTCATTAGAAGCCAAAGTGACTAAACTCAGGTTATCATATTTTAGAAGTAGTATCATGGGAAGATAAGATTTAATGGGAAAGACAACAATGTGGAGAGGACAAAACTAACATGAGATGGATTGACCAAATAAAAGAAGCCACAGTTTTTAGTGTGCAAGACCAGAGCAGGAAGTCTTAACGAATTGATTTTGATGGTAATTAATTCATAGGAGAGCCATAAAAACACCACAACACATATCATCATCATCATCATCATCATCTTAAAATGACACTTCATGAGCCAAATCCTAATCTTAACCTATAACATCCTGCCTCTTGAGCCTGGGAAAAGTGATTTCCAACATTTTAAAGCTTGAAATATATTAATGCATCTTTTAAGGATGTATAATAAAGGAAAGCTAACAAATTGCTACTACAATATCTTGGTCTAGTAACCAAGATGGCGGTACCCAGAAGCTCACATACAGCAGAGCAACAGACGGAAGCAACCTAAAACTTAACAGATATCAACATAAACTCAAAATACATCCTGCTAACTATCCCAATATTTACAGTATTTAATTCAAAGATGGAAAGTGAAATGCTTTGCATGGCATCCACATGTGTAGATGTTGTTTATATATATGTCCTCGGAAAACATGATGCAACCACACTCGCATGCATGTGGTTCCTTTTAGTGCGTAGTAAAGGGGTGAGAAAACTAATGATCACCTACATGTTTCTGTATTTCAATTCCTACCAGTCCAGGCTATGTGGCCAATAATGAGGGTTAATGGCAGTTGGGAGGTCAATGCATCTGGAGGGCTACCCATCATCCACCCTGGCTTAAAAGCATGTGAGGAATCAATATAGCTTCAGTAGCTCAGACATTGCTGTTTCTCTTGACAACGTGAAAAATATTGCAGTTGAATGCTGGGTGGAAGCGGTGAAGCAAAAACAAATTCAAGAAAAGCACCCTAGAGAAAGAGAGCAGTAAGTCTACGTGAGAGTAATTTATCCTTTATGGGGAAAGCAACCTTGTTTGGACAGAACCATTTACGATTACACTCCCACAGTTAGTCACCAGCCTGCTCCTGATAGGGCCGATGACCCAAATTCCTCTCTTGCCAGTGCAACAGAGAAATGTATAAGACCTCTGGTTACCAGATCACTGTAGGGGTTGAAGCCTAAAGCTTTGTGCCACAGGCATGCACTTGGTAAACATGTAAAAGAGGGCAAAGGGGAGCTGGCAAGAGAAAGAATACGACTAAGACGATTCCTGCTGCTCTAGGCAGGGCACCAATCTAAAAATTCCAATTACAAAACCTCTAGCCACAAAAGAGGAGAGCTCAGATTTATATTTGAGATCCATTTAGTAAAGAATTCTTAATTTCAGACCTGGAAACCGTACTGGTGGGGCTGAACAAATTAATACAATGCAGAAGCTCTCGGTCTATTCAGAAAACTCTCAGCATCCGGATTCTTCTGCCACCAATTTTTTTTTAACCCAGGATCTCCTCTCCTGCAGATGTCACCATCATCCAGCAGGCACCAGCTCTTCAATGCAAGGGCTGCTTTGTAAGGCTTTATACGCTCCGGCATCACACACTGCTTTCCTGCAGAGCCTTACAAGTTAATTGCGTGGCAAGACGCCAGCAGCTGCTTCCATCTCCGAGCTGGCAGGTCAGATTAGGAAGGACGTTCTGGCAGCCTGCCCGCTGCCATGATCACAGGAGAAAGATGAAGAGCTCTGTAAAGCAGAGACCTCAGCAGTGGTTAGACTGCCCCCTCCCTTTGCCTGCTGCTCTGGCAACCAAACAAAGCACAAGACTAATTGTAACTCCTGCCTGACACACTGTGTCCTAGATTTAACCTACCTCAATCAATCATGCCGGGGGAAAAGAACCTCCCAGCAAATAAATACAGAATTATTTTGTGAAATGCAAGATGATTTGTGTCTGCCTCTGAAGAGCTACTCTTGCTGGAGCAAAGGGGGAAAGGGGGGGTGCTAGGAAGAAGCTGACAATGGAAATCTGGAACAGACGGTGATTCGGGCACTCAGAATGACTATAATGCTGGAAAAAGAGAGATTATCACAACATTGCATACCCTCCACACACCCCCAAAAGCCTTGGCTGGAGTTAATCTTAACTTCTCATTTCATACCTTCTAAAGCAAGCAACAACGATGCTCCCATTTTTATGAGGCCAAAGAGTGTCTAATAATAATATTAATAACATTAGCACAGTGTCTAATAATCACTCAACAGCCCAATTACTGAGCCAGGATTCTCTGAGCTAGTGTCAGCTGGTCACAGTTTCCAAATTGCATCCATCTCCCTGTTGGCCAGTGCAAAGAAGTGCAAAGAAAGCAACTGCGGAGACCAAGAAATCATTTATAGGCCAAAGGTCCTTGATTCTATTGGGTGGTGGGGTTTTTTATCAGCATAATAGATACAGAGCAATAGCTCAGCTGTTGAAGGGGCACAGGCTTCCCCCAGGAAGTGCTTCTGTTGTAAGTGTAACACATTGTCCTACAAGTCAAATCGTGAGCTTTTGTTTAGCGGAAAATAAACATCCTCCCCCACACTTTGTAACTTCACAAGTGTCAGAGGCTCCAATGTGTCATCACTGTGACATATTCCCCATCCCTTTACTTTCATCAACATTTAATTTAAAAGAAGAAAGTTCCCCTATCATTCCATTTTCAATTGCTGGAAAGAGCTTGAAAAATATACTTTTCTTCCCAAGTATCTCTCTATTAAAATCCTGGAAATGTTTGAAACCCAGCATATTCTCCCGTTTGCATGCTACACTTCCCATTGCTATGTTTTCAGTTCTTGTCGTGCAATGTTAACTAAGCAAAATTTGCATGGCTTGTATACAGGAAGTCATCTCACAATGGCAGCATCTTTTCCCTTTTATTTTCACCATGATATTCATAAAACTGTCTATTTTTGCTCAATGAAAATATACACCTTTCAGAATTAAAAAAAAAAGGACATTCGCAACCCAGAGTGCTTCACATTCTCGAGATAAAAGGAAAAGAGAAAGATTCAGAGGAACAAGCTTCTGAATTTTCTTTGTGCAGCAGCTGCTGTTGCCATGCAGTGATCCTTGTTGCTATGAAGATCTCCATCTCAGACAATGGCTTTTTAACTGCAAGTACTCTTGCTATTGGCTGAGATATTTCCCAGGTGAGCAGTGATGCTTAAATCCTCAATTTCAGGAGTAGGTTGAAATTGCTTGTTTCCAGCTAGGAAAGGGTTTGGAGAGAAGAGCAAGCTTTCTTTAGTTACCAGCTTCACTCCAGGTGGCATTAATCACAGCAAGAGGAAATGGAAACCTGTCCACTCATAAGGCAGCAAGTGGAGGGCTGCATTCCAGAATAATGAAATCCATTAAAGGATCAGAATCATGCCTAAGAAAATTAGGAAAACTGCTGCAACAACTGCCGCAAATGCCTTAAAGTAGTCCTTAGAAATATTTAACACATTTCTGTGGAAGCAGCATAGGTTACAGCTAGAGGATTAAGGAGACAGGGAGAAAGGTAAAGTGCTTTGAAATAGCTGCTTGTAGCGCATGCAGCAGGGAGGGCCATTGTGGCAGCTTCTGTCAGATTTTGGTATGAGAGGACTCAAAATGTACTTCTTCATGTTAACAGCCAAACATGTAAAAATGAGTTGATTGCCATTAGCATTCGGAAGTGTGAACACTGAACTTTTATGAATCAATATTACTAATATGTTACTTTAATCACTAATTCTAAAATAAAGAGTGAAAGATTCTTACTTGTTACAGGTTACTGAGTAAATGAGCAAAGTAAGATGGGGAGACCTTAAGCTGTACCTCTATAAACCAGCCTTGTTAATAGACTGGTAAGCAAAGTGGCAGATTGGGTGTCTCCACTTAGCTGTTAAGCCACATGGATCAATACTGCTACAATCCTAGGAGGAGATCTTGTTTGTCTTTGTGAGCTAGTACGACAGCCACTCCTTGCCATGTTGTTATCTTTAGTTTTCCTCTTAATTTGTACAGACGTCTACAATGGGCAGCAAGTTACAAACGCCATTTCAGCGACAGCATTACCCAGGCAACAGAAAGAGTTTGAACCCACCAGAGGAAATGTGGCTGCATGTCAAAAATCAAAGCAAGTAGGCCTGGTGCCAGTTCTTTAACAAAGGAATGAACTGGTGTCAGTTCCTTTTAATAATAACTGCTATGAAGGAAATACAGCCTTGTCATGCAGCTTGTGAATCTTTCTGGCTCATCATCTCATGTTGCATAAGGGAATCATCCACCACAAGCAACACTGTAAGCAATTACTGGAAATCCAAACACTATCACAATTTTTGGAGAAGGAGGGCAGCCACAAAAGAGCCGACATCTTGCTCAGTACACCAACCAGAACCTACACACAGACAATCAGTGATGTAATAGCTCAGAACTCATCTAAGGAATGCAAAGCCTCGGATGTGAGTTATTACTTCTGACAGCAGGAACCGCACAGCAGCCAAAGTTGCCTGCCAGGCAAGATCTCTGCACACATTCACTGAAATAAGTGCAGGCTAAAAATAGTGAAGCTGTGATTCCTGCAGAATACCTCCTGGGCAAGATCTGAAATTATAGCTGGTCTAAAAAGGCCTAACAGGGAAAGACAAGCTGCAAAAACATTAAAACTAGACAGCAAGAGGGATGGCAGCCCTGAGCACAGGACACGTTTTACACCCCCACCTGTCTTCTGAAGTGGCTTTCTCTGGCCCACATGCAGATAAATAACACCCTGTGATCTTATCATGAGAGATGCAAACTATTATTACTGAAATTCTTGTAACCACTAATGTCAGAAAACACAGTGGAAACTTGTGTTGGTCTTTCATCACTTGATTTCCACTTAAGATACCAGTTTGCAAGCCCAACAATCTGTGAAAGACTTTGTCAATCTGAAACATTTTTCAGATTGACAAAATCTTCCTTAGAATCTGTAAAATCTGCTCTGCTTGGCATTGCCTTGTGATATATCTGTAACAGTCCAAGGAGATACAGTACATTTTTTATCTCAGTGAGACACTGTTTTGGCTTCACTCTCACTCAAAATAATTGTCCCTCTTCCAATTCCTACTGGCTACCTGCCTAATCATATTACGGTTCTGCAGGAATGAAGGTGATGGGGTAGTAATGATGGTGGCAGAGCAAACACTGGCTTACGGTGATAGGAAAAACAGAATTTCTGAAAGTTAAAAATCAACCTTTTCCTAAGTGTGCATACACATCTGGCAAACATTTACCTCTGACCGAAACAATGTTTAAAGAGTCTAGTAAGAACAATGACCTAAGAAAAGGGCTTTTGAAAATTGCAAGGACAGAAGTGCAAACCTCAAAACAAGGCACAAAGATCAAAAGATAGCCTTAAAATTTCTTAAAAACAGAGCAAAATATCCACACTTAAAAGGGGAAGGGAAAGAAGGGTTTCATGTGCATGAATGTAGAGTTTATAGTGCTGGTTCACAGTGAACACTGGAAGCTGCCTTATAGCGAGACTATTGGTACAGCATTGTCAACTCTTTAGTTGGCAATGGTCCTCCAGAGTTGTAGGCAAGATTCTTTCTTAGTCTTGCCTGGTGCTTCCTGATAGTCTATCCAAATATTAACCCAGGCTAACCATGCACAACTTCTAAAATCAGATGAGATTAGATGTGTTCAGAGTGGTATGGTGACTGCAATTGACAGGAGGGCGGATACTGGATGAAAAGACACAAAAACACCCAGAAGGCTACCAGAAGGTTAAGTAAACTTGGTGAACTGCGTCTCCCATCAGTTCCAGCCAATGGAACTACTGGAGCGATACTTAACTCACTACATCAAGTTGCCTAAGCCTGTTCAGTGGAGTGTCCACCTTTTGCAAAAGGACAGGAGCAGAAGGGAGGCTGCTTGTGGCCTGGACAGAGCTACTCCCAAAGTGAACTGAACAACATTGCCTAGATTAAGAATGGAAGGCAAGATGGCAGGGTCCTCCGGCACAGTGTCATTTTGTGGACAATTGGGCTAAGGTGGGATACCATGTTAAAGCCAGCAGTTGACTAGCACTAGTCTAATATCAAACATACTAAAGGCCACCTACCGTCTTCTGTCTCCTGCCACACGATGCCCTCCAGATTGACGCTGGTGCCAGGTTCACAGGGGCCCAAGCACTCTGGCTCAGTAGCCAGTGCCACATCACATGTGTTCACCCCTACAGAGCGAGTGCGTACCATTATCTGCTCACATGGTGATGATATATCACTGTTGACAACAGGGACAAGAAGATGCAACGGTAGCACTGCAGGGGTGGACACTGGAGACTCCATCTGAAAAAAGAGATAATACAGCAGTTACAACAAACACATAAAGATGGATAGGGTGGCTGGACCTCTTTTCTACCTTCCATATCCCCAAACTAGGAGGACGTGGCTATACTGGGTCCTCGTCTTCAGGAGTAGATGCCTTCTTTAATACATTTACCATGGGACAACAAATTCTAGGAAATGTTTGGTACCACAAACTTAGACTCTGTAAAATGTCCAGCATTTTACAAACAGAACCTGGATAGCTAGAGATGTTGCATCTGTCTGTTGAAAATAGTTCCTAACAAATATAGTGGCATGGGCAAATCACAGCCTCTTTCCAAAACAAGCTGCTCCTGGTTTGTCAGCCCTCATTTCCTTGGGATCATTCCTAGTTGATGGGGTGCTCATTTGAAGGTTAAAAAAGACCATGGAGGTGATAAGCCTGTATCTGGGCTATCCAATTTAAGACAGCAGACTAAGGGCTCACAGAAATAGATTATTCTTCCATTAGGAAGTTGGAGAGGGAAGAATTCTTACACATAGAAAACTAAAAGCTAGAAAGGTAGAAGGCTAGGGTGGTGACTTTCCTCCTTGACATCTTAGTTTTCAGACTGTGGCTATGTTTATAAAAATGTGCAGTTAACACAAGCCATCCATCTACAATGTGACATAGTACAATCTGGAAATAAGGTTACTACTTCAGAGAGAATTAAGACAAAAGCCACCTGTCTGTTGGCAAATATTTCTTTCACTGGAAGATAATCTATTGTAGCAGGTACATGTTATGCCCTGAAGCCTAGCACTAGGGTAATCACTACCACCAAACACAGCTGAAGAATCGCCTCTAATACCTAGCTGCCCCTGAGTCACATATGAAAGAAAAGCAGTTTTAAGACCATACCTACTCTGCTCATCTCTTTTCAAAACATAATTATTTTGTTTTAAGCACAGAAAAAGTTACGTCCCCCCTTCATGCCCTGAAAGGGGATCTACAAGCATAAGGATACTGCCCACTCACACAGAATGCAGCGATCTCTGGGAACCTGGTTTTCAATTTGGCCTCTTATCCTTCCCAAATCATCAGCTAATTCAAAAATTGTACCACATGCCACTCAGCATCCAACTGATGGCCCTGGGTGTCTCTTGGTAAGCTCAGACACATTCCAGCCAAGGGAATAAAACCATCAAGCTGTCACTGTGGGAAATCTGCCTGCTTGCTGCAGATTATAGCTTGCCCTTCCCTGGCCAAACACAGCAATCTCCAAATCCCTTTGCCAGAAGATACCCTGCTCTTTTCCCCCATGAGCATTCGTGACCATAAAATCAGGAGTTATTTATGGATGATGACTGCCAACAGCCACACACTCTCATTTAAACTAATTCTGTTTTTGAACCATTGCCAGATCATCCTCCTTAGCTGCTGTGCTCTCTTCTCTCTTGCCTCCACCTTCTCTCTCTCGCACACACACTGGTAGCAGTGCTTTTTTATGAAGCAATAACACATTGAAACAGAACAAGATGAATCTTGTTTGCCCGGCACAAGAGGAACACATCTCTACATTGCCCCCAAAACAATCCTTGGGGAAGAAAGGGTTGAAACGCTGCCATTCATTAAGGCTGTTTTCATTTCTCAGATAAAATCTTGTCCAGAACTTTTCAAAGAAAATTGTGGGGATGGTCATTATACCCCTTAGTGCCCCTGCTAGGGGCAGGCAGCAGAATATTTACCCTCCAATGCAAGCAATCCCATTAAATGTCCCCCATCATACAGCTAATAACTGAAGGAAACAGCTGCCTTCTCTTTGGCAGTTTAGTACTTAAGAATGTGGGCAATGCTGACTTCTGGAACTGAATTTTCACTCTAGTCGTGGTGGACTACTCTAGGCGACCAATAGTCTCTTCTAATCATCTTAACATCGTAGAACAAAACACCCAAGTTGTCTTTTGCCTGCTTTCCTGCATTTGGCTCTTTCTTCCCTTTGTTCTAGGCAGCTAAACAAACAAACCCAATCTGATCACCATGTAATGCAGGTTATCAATTTAATCTGCAATGACTGTGCTAGGTGCATCGGCCCAGGCAGGTAGCTAAGCCTATGACCTAGTTCTTGCGAAGTCACTAAGACTATGTCTTGATCGCACCAGTTCCCATATGCAAACTCCTCCTTGCAGATGGAATGCTCTCTTCTGGAAATTCATTCATACAGACAGAAAATTAGCATGCCAGGAGAAAGACCAGAGTTTTATATAAATCCAAGGTTTATATCCATCCATCATGTTCTCAATGACACAGCTGAATAGTCTGTAGCATGTAAAACCGCAGCTACATCAAATCAGTTTAGCACAATTTAAACAATCCTCCAACTCATGAGCTAGTTACCAACCTTCAAACACAGCTGGCAAATCTACCCATGGTTTTAATGACTAATATTAGCCATAGTTTGCTGCAATATATAAGAGGAGAAGAGAGAAAGCATGCTGGAACACTCATGGTAAGCTCCTAATCTTTTAAATCAGGGGTAGGAAATTATGACGCCTTACAAGTTCTCACCAGTGATTGTGCTGGCCAGGGCTGCTAAGAATTTTAAACCAACAATTGCCCATTTCAACAATTAGTCCAAGAGTTGCCCATTTCTGCTTAAATCATGGTTTGGAGGATCAAAACAAGATATTTCAGACTAGACTTATATCTGTGAAATATTTTAAAACAAGATTCTATTTTGGAATTCAATCTGTCATAGGTACATCTGATATGCTCAATGCAATTTAGATTGGAAACAATCCAGAGCAGTAAGATGTCCTCTCCTTCTTCATATAGTGCCATGTTACATGGGTGCTGTTATATACACAATGTAATAAAGCAAACCATTTAAAAAAAGCTAGTCTTCAATTCCCAATTTTTACTGAAGCAGCAAACCAGTGTCTGGGCTCTCCATTTCAGACTGTAGCAAGGAGAGGCTATGTATGAATGTGCACTTCTTCTGTAGGTTGAAGCTGTACAGCCACTACCCCATTTGCCACTTCAGTGATCATCAGGTTTTGGAACAGAAGTAGTACATGAGACCATGCAGTGGATTGCTGCATCAGAACCTAGTGCAAAGCCTTCTGCTCTTCTTTTCCTGAGTTTTCTTTTCATAGGGAGGGGAAAGTAATGTCTTATGTTGTGTTGAGCAGGGGCCTTGGCCCCAATGAGTTCATCTGTGAAAGGCATGACAATTGGCTTAACTTCTCCTTCTGCTCAAGATCGGCTTGGATAAAGAAAAGAACTGGGGTATCCAAACAGCTTAGTTCTATTCATGATGCACTTGGCAAAATTCCAAAGTTGTCTGGATGCAGAAAGAGGTTTCAGGATAACAGCATGACCTGTGAAGAATGAATAGCACAACAACAATCTTAGGGAACTTGGCTCTTATTTCTAGCAACAACACTAAGAGCAGCTCCAGGAGAGTGTCCTAATACGGTATTTGTTTTCCCCAGTGTTTTTACCTGTTGGACTGATTTTCTCTGAAAGGCCTCCAGGTGGGGTCTAAGCACTGCCAGCTTTTGGGGGGGGGTTGTCAAGGTTATAACATTACAAAAAAGTCCCAGGAGCTCTGCTCCTTCTTTTACCTGTTGGACTGATTTTCTCTGAAAGGCTTCCAGGTGGGGTCTAAGCACTGCCAGCCTGGGGTGGGTGTGTCAAGGTTATAACATTACAAAAAGTCCCAGGAGCTCTGCTCCTTGTTCGTGAGAATACAGAATCTGCAGCTCCAGAAAACCCTGTTCTCTAATCTGGAGCAGATGTGATTCCCCTCTTACATATTAAAGCAGAACACTTGGCACAGAAGCATGGACAGTCAATTCATCTTGAAAGATGGAAAATGATTCTCAACCATGTAACCCTGCAGGCAGAGTTGGGACACTTCCTGGCATGTGGAGAGTCTGGGTAGTTGCAGCTTTTCAAACTGTTCAGCTGCCTTCTACTTTGAACGGTAATCAGCACTCAGCAGATGAGCACTAATTGCTGCTCCAGCTTTGCTAATTATCATTTGGTCACATTTGTAATGTGCATTATGCCACAGTGCATAATAAGCAGCTTGCTGAGAACCATCTAAGTGAGGCAGCTTTATGGGATTTCATATTTCACTCTGCAGTGGAACTAACCTTGTGTCATTTATCAGCTGTTGGGACATAAGGGAGGAGGAGGGAGCAACCTGCATAGTTCTATATTCTTTCAAAGAGATGGAAGCCAAAGAAGAGAAACTCAAGATACGGCATTCCTACACACTCTCAAACTGAGCTCCCCAACCTGCTTTTTTGAAACATCCTGCCCAGAGAAGAGAGCATTCTTTATCTTGAAAGCTTGACAGAGCATTCTGTGCTTTTAATGGGCCCAATAAAGGGCCAACATATCTTTTGGAATTTGTCTTACAGCCAACTCAGCTTCCATTACAGTTCCTAATGAGGCTATGACAGAATACACTCTTCTGGTATGTGTACATTTCAGAAGAACTACAGGAGGGACAGGAAAAAAATAAATTCCTGGCTTTATCTAAAGAGCTGATCATCGTCCCATGGCCAACCACTTAAGTCTCATTACTGGCCTGCAGATGAGAGAACAGTGTTTACTGTGCAAGACAAAGATAAACGAATATAGTCAGAGTGACAAGAAAGGAAGATGGGAAATCAGTATCCCCATGGAGAGCAACATTATTGTGTTCTCCTCCTGTGCAAGATCTCTTTCTAGGCTCATGATGTAAACAGATGGTCTACTAGAACCAGGCATACATAGGAATCTTCTGGTCTAGTCCCAAATATATAGAGTCAACTCATAAAACTAACCTGTGATATGGGTTTTCTGGAAAAAAGTAGAAGTGGGGAAAATTTAGGCGCTCTAAAATAGTGTTATCTGGTTCAGCTTCTTTGATTGAAATGTTATATTCAAACACATTCAAAGCTTTATGGGGAAATTATCATATTGGAATGTTCATAATAATGTAAAGAGAACAGCATATACTTCCCTTATATTTAACAAAATAAACGAC